CTACTAGACGTATAGCTACCTAGGAATTCTAACTATGGTGTGACTATTATATAATTACTTTATTAACGTTATAAAGCCGACCTAGTAATTATCTTATAGTAATAGCTATTAAACTAGATAGCTTAGGTATATATTTCCTACCTACCCGGGACTAGCTAATTAGTAATAGTTATCTAGTAAACGTAGCAAATTAGAAAGACGTAGCAGATTAGAAAGACGTAGTAAATTAGAAAGACGTAGTAAATTAGAAAGACGTAGTAAATTAGAAAGACGTAGTAAATTAGAAAGAATTCACTCGTCTTACTTACCCTACTTATAACTACTTCCTAATACTTCTACGACCTACCGACCTATAGGCTTTTTAACGTTACCCCTATAACTATTAATCTCTTTAGTAATTAACCTCTCTATTAATTAACTTCTCTATTAATTAACCTCTCTATTAACTATACTTACTAACGCTATTAAGTAATTACTACGATAGCTTTAGCTATTATAGGTCCTCCCGGTAATAGCCCTCTTAGTGATAGCCCTCCTCGCCCTAACCTGCTTCCCGATAAGCCCGATTAGCTTAATAAGCTTAATATTACCTATAATCGTTATTAAGTCTCTAAGCCTTATAGCGAATTTAGAAACCTTCGAAAGCTTAATACTATCGTATAGAGCTACTTCGAGTATTATAATAGATAGTCGGCCTTTATAAGTATCCCTATTACTATAAAGAAGCTAATATTAACTTACTATATAGCGTTAATATAACGGTTATACTATCGACCTCCTTTATAATATATTATCTAATATTATAGGCTCTAAGAGGAATATAAACGCTATTAGCCTCCTAGTTCCTCTATATCGACGAGGCTTATAGCTTAACGTACTCTAGCCTCTTCAAGCTATTACCCCTACTCCTATCCTTTTATCGAATATCTAGCGTCTACGCTAGCTTACTTAATAGCTATCTATATTCTTCTATTATAGCTAAAGCTCTTAAGACCCCTTTAAGATTACTAAAGCCTATTACGAGCTTACTCTTATTAAGCGTCGTTATCGTACTATATATTATATAGCCTCTTATAGCTAGGTATTAATAACCTTAGATCTTAAGGATATCGTAGTAAGGATCGTTAGTACTTCGAGTACTATTAGAAGTTCCGCTATAAGTACTATTATTACTTTTACTACTTTAGCTTCTACTTCTACTTCTATTACTAAGGGCGGGTCTACT